CTATATGAAACAGCTGCTCCATTTTTAGACATCATGGGGAAGGTGATCCATCGACCACCGTCCCTCTTCTTTTTATAACAAGATCTTATTAGTTTTGTTGAACCACATCATCTAAAAGTTCAAGTTGTTAATGAGGTGATGCACTAATTTATTCAATTTCGTGTTGTACATGTCCCCCTCTCGCATATCAGATTCATTTTTATATCATAAAACTAACATGTACACAAGTTTTTAAATGAGCGGGGACGAGACTTGGACTTAGGATCTTTGCGTTTTGTGATACCATGTTGATAAGGGACACATTTATTTATTTGAATTTTGTCTTCAACAATTTTCTTTTTCCAATTTATTTTTGCCTTTGTTGTAGTCAAGATTTTACCTTGGGGATGTTGGCAATGGAGCTGCGATGAAACTCGTTGTCAATATGATTATGGGAAGGTTCTGCATATTTACTACCTCGATAAACCTCTTCATTTTTGTTCCTCGTATAAGATTTGACAAATTTTGCTCAAATCCACGTCTTAAAACCCTAAACAATTTTCAGTATGATGGCATCTTTTTCTGAAGGATTGCTTCTCAGTGAGAAAGTAGGACTGGACCCAAGTATACTGGTCGAGGTATTTGCTCGTAACTCATATCTTCTTGTATACATTCATCTGCTTATAATATTTATTATGGACTTTTATCTTTTATAATACTTCAATCGAATCTGGGAATAATTTTCAAGATTTTTGGACTTGCACTTAGATTAGACAAACATAAATCTACTGTATGTATCTTTGAGTTGGCAATCTGAAATTTAATTGCTTATTGACTTGATAAACATACTAAATATGAAATTTAAAATGTCTCGTGGAAACTGGGATTCGGAACTCATTGCATGACTGATACTTATCATCGGGGAAATAAAAATCGGTAGCAAAAGTGAGCAAGAAAAACTTCCGACCCAGATACTTTTAATCCTATGATGGGTCGACAATCTGCACCAATTTTTGTGCCTGGGTTGTGTTTTGCAGGTTATCTCGCAGGGCGCTATTAGTGCCCCGATGTACTCGATGAAAGGTCCTTCAATGGTTCAGTCTCTGTATCCTACTGCATTTCCTTTAAAGCATCAGCAAAAGGTTCAAAATCTTCCTACACGTTTCATCTATTGGGGGATTCAGTACGTCTCTTGACAGCAAATTTTCATTTATGCA